TCCTTTTCTTGTTCCACAGATACCCTGATGACCCATTTGATAGAATCTGGGAATCTGATTCTGTGAGGAGAGCAAATTACCTTGTTGATGTTGCTCCAGGGACCGAAAGAATATCAACTACGAAACCCATATTTGTCAGTACCAACGAAGAACCACCTGAAAAGGTCATGCAAACAGCAGTAGTTGGCCAGGATGGGTCCTTGAACTACCGCCTTGATTTGGAAGGTTTCCCAGCAAATGCTTGGGGAGTCTCATATTTCGCAGAAATTGAAGATTTGGCACCAAATGAAACAAGGAAATTTAAGTTAGAGGTCCCTGGCATGCCAGCACTCAGTAAACCAACTGTTGATGTGGAGGAGAATGCTCAAGGGAAATATCGTTTGTATGAACCAGGCTACACGAATTTGACACTTCCGTTTGTTTTCTCGTTTGGGTTCAGGAAGACAAATGATTCTTCAAAGGGGCCTATTTTGAATGCGCTGGAGATTTACAAATATGTCCAAATTACTATGGGATCACAAGATGGTAAGCAAATTGTGCACGGTTCTGCTACCTTTACTTTTTCCTAGCAGCAACAACCCCTTATGTTTCAGAATAAGAAACTCACTTTGGGACTGAATTGGTGTATGCAACATTGACAGCAAATATCATGGCCAGCATGGTATCACGATATCCACAGGTAGGTTGGGCACAAGAGGGTGGTGATCCGTGCTTACCAGCATCATGGTCCTGGGTGCAATGCAGTTCAGAAGCTTCTCCAAGGGTATTCTCAATGTATGACAACCATGTCATTATGCCTTCGATTTTTTGGCTTCCTTAATGAAATAGTATTTGACACCTAATAATTTTTTTTCTTGCAGCACATTGTCAGGGAAGAACATTACAGGAAGTATCCCTGTGGAATTGACAAAGTTATCAGGGCTGGTTGAGCTGTAAGGACTGAATACTTTATTTTTATCTTGTCTAAGTATTTGACTTCTATTGTCTGATCGACTTATTTCGGTTAATGCAGAAGGCTTGATGGTAATTCATTTTCTGGCCAAATTCCTGATTTCAGCGAATGCCGTAATTTGCAGTATATGTGAGTTTCCAGTTTTTTTTTTTTTGTGATAATGTGTTTTTGTTAAATGATTCTACTAATATACGGTGCTTTTCTTCATTCTAGTCACCTTGAGAACAATCAGTTAACTGGTGAATTGCCATCTTCTTTGGGAGACCTACCTAACCTGAAAGAGTTGTAAGTTAAACATCCTTGTGTGCACCTTGTCATAATCTCTAGACTTTGGAGACCATAGTATAGTATTTCTTCAATTTATTTCCCTTTGAATTTTTTTTTTATTTGTATTCATTTCTTACGTTTTTCTGCTCAAGAAACCAAAAGACAAATTGATGTTAGTGATTTAAGATTTTTTATATGAGTACATCTGTGTGAGGATTTTTATGGAAAAAAGGAGCGCTCTTATTATGAACTAAAACTTATGCAGGTATGTTCAAAACAACAAGCTGTCTGGGCAGGTTCCAAAAGCACTTTTCAAGAGAAGCATTATTTTGAAGTTAGTATCCTGTCCTTAAAGCAGACTATTAATTTCAGATCATGCTTTTGAACACTAATGTGGCTTGAAAGCCTTCACTCTTTAGTGCCACCAAAATGTTTACATATGTGGATCAAATAGCTATGCTGTTCTTAGAATGGTCGCATGACTCCCATATGTTCTAAATTGTTACATGGCTGCAGCTTCTCAGGCAACAGTGGCCTTCACATAGTAAGCAATGGCATTAGCCACACCATAATTGTTATATGTGTGGTGATTGGAGCCATTGTCTTACTGGGTATTGCTATTGGATGCTATTTCATTACATGTAGGAGAAAGAAGAAATCTCATGAAGGTACACACTCTTTAGCTCAATTGGTACATCGATATTATGCTAGGGAAAGGGCATGCAGTGATTCTTTTGCCATCTCCAGACCCTGTTGTTATTGCAGCACCAGCAAAAAAACTTGGTTCATATTTTAGTGAAGTAGCTACAGAATCAGCACACAGATTTTCTTTATCTGAAATTGAAGATGCTACCGACAAATTTGAGAGAAGAATTGGCTCTGGAGGCTTTGGCATAGTATACTATGGAAAGTTGGCTGATGGGAGAGAGATTACAGTCAAACTTCTCACAAATGACTCCTATCAGGGAATCCGAGAATTCTTGAATGAGGTTTGTTCTCATACTCACCACATTACTTCAAAATAGTTGCATAACCGGATAAACCCTTCTGTATATTTTTACGCAATTTTCAATTATGGCAGCCTGAAATACGGAACTTAAGTGTTCTTGCATATATATAGCTGCCTAACATCTTGTTTCAGGTGACATTGCTTTCCAGAATACATCATAGGCACCTGGTTACATTCCTTGGTTACAGTCAGCAAGATGGCAAAAACATACTAGTGTACGAGTTCATGCATAATGGGACACTAAAAGAGCACCTTCGTGGTAAGTCCACATCCAACTTATGGTAAATCTACAGTATAGGATCAATAGCAAACTGTCAGTAGGTGGATAGTTATTCTTCCACAAGCAGACGAGATAAATGTTTCTGGTATATAACTTAACTAAAAGAATGCTCCTTCTGCTGTTGATTTAACATCTTTTGGAACTGCAGAGCATTCACGCATGCTTAATTAACTGAACTCAAACATGAAGTTAGATCAGATTCTGCTTAATGATAGACAGGATTTTGTGTATGACAGATATCTCTAGTTTAGCTCTCAATTGTGATTCAACCCTAGCAGCAACATGAAGTGTTAAGAGACAGCACCCCATGGTCAATGGAGAAAACATACACAAATGAGGGTAAACTTTTGGTGGTGTTTTGCAGGAGCTGATAATGTAAAGATAACTAGCTGGCTGAAGCGCCTTGAGATTGCAGAAGATTCTGCAAAAGGTTTGTGGTCTGCTGGTTTCACAATTTGCTACCTGTATATTGAATATGGAGAAATTAGCTACCGCAGTTCTGATTCTGAATGTGAAATTGCAAAAATCAGGTATAGAGTATCTCCACACAGGATGCTCCCCAACAATCATCCATAGAGACCTGAAGAGCAGCAACATTCTCCTAGACAAGAACATGAGAGCAAAAGTTGCAGACTTTGGGCTATCGAAACCTGCAGTGGATGGGTCTCATGTGTCAAGTATAGTTCGAGGAACAGTGGGATACTTGGACCCAGAGTAAGGCCAAGCAATCTGACTGAGGTGTTTTGTATCATTCTGTTTCATCTTCTCTTACAATCGATTTTGTTCTGGTGTGGTTAGGTACTACATCTCGCAGCAGCTGACAGAGAAGAGCGACATCTACAGCTTCGGCGTGATTCTGCTGGAGCTCATCTCCGGCCATGAACCGATCTCGAATGACAACTTTGGGCTCAACTGCCGTAACATTGTTGCGTGGGTAAGAAGAGAATAGTACTAGCATCAGTTTTGCTTCCTGTTCCATCAGTGAGTTTCTGCTGAAGGAAAAGCAATGGATGTAAAAACTGAAGTAAACGAATAACCTGGCAGGCCCGATCGCACATTGAGAGCGGGAACATCCACGCCATCGTTGACGAATCGTTGGACAAAGGCTATGACCTGCAGTCGGTGTGGAAGATCGCGGAGGTGGCCATAATGTGTGTGAAGCCCAAGGGCGCGCAGAGGCCTCCCATCTCGGAGGTGCTCAAGGAGATCCAGGACGCCATTGCCATCGAGCGGGGACCCCAGGAGATGCAGCGCTCTACCATCCAGCAGCAGCTGCTCGTGTCCAACAGCAACAGGTCCATGGGTGGTGCCTCGTCGTCCGTGAACAACAATTCAGGCAGTGTGGCGGTGGACTTGGAGCAGAACGGAGCATCCTTCGACGAGCTGCTCATGCGGCCGGGTCTCAGATGAGATGAGAATATTGCAGCAGTCCTCAGCTTTATTTGTATGTATGTATGTATGAGTTCCAAGTCTTAAGTCCGAGATCAAGGTTTCATTCATGTAGGTACCACCGAGAGTCCCTGAGTTGTATGTAGATGGGCGAAGGGTTTATTATGTTTTGCTAACAAGGAAACTGAGTTGTATGTGACGTGCAAGTATTTGTGTTTGTTTTTTTAGCTAACAGGGAACAAAAGTAAAGTGCTGGCAGGCAAATCAAATAAGGAAACGAAGTTTTGGGAAGCAGAAAACAGTTTCTGTTTTTAATAAATAAAGGTTAAGGGACTTTTTGTTAAAAAAAGAATACTAAGTAATGCTAAGCAAAGAAACCAATGCAGTATCATACATTGCCGTGGGTAACACTGGTTGAATACGACTTTCTTGTTGACCTTCACCTCAAATTTCCTTTAATTAATATATATCACTCAGCTCCCTACGCAAAACGCATGTACTCGCCACCGGCAGACAACAACAGCAGGGAGCAAGAGCAACCACCACTAGTTAATACAGACACCGAACACCAGGTTACTACAGAAACCGACCGATATCATCATGTACAGACACAAGAAAACAAACTGCCATCAAGCCAAGCCACCTTAGCTTCTTCTTAATCTCTTTCCCTCACAAGTCAAACCACACCACATTATAGACATCTCTATCTATTTCAACTTCAGCTGCTTTGTTCTTCTCGGCGCATCTTTCTTTTCATTCAAGCTTCACAAAATCATAGAGGAGATTGAACCTGATCATCAACAAATAAACCAAATGGAAGGTCAGTTTTCTAACTTGTTTGTGCACCAATACATAGTACGCTAGTTTCACTAACAAGAAACTAATCAATGGCATGCATACCTGGTAATTTCAAAGGACTGGACCAAAGCTCAGGTTCATGTTGGTCAATTCCAATACAACAATATATACTCGTGTACCAGCTCATAAGCACAACACCACTATCCACCTCAGGCATTTGTTGTCCAACCAGTTACTTCCAGAAATCAACAAGCGCCCCAAGTTTGAACATGTCAGCTCAAAGTCACACATTACCCAAGAGACAATCACATTCCAAAGGCTCTATTATAGATATCATTTGAACCCAGCCTGTGCAACTTGTTCACGTCACTTGGATATAACATCCTCGACATGTCTGACATTGTGGTGCTATTCCCTTGTCTTGAATCACTCCACCCATCCCAGTGACCACTTGTAAGCTGCGAGTTTCTGGGTTGTTGCGGAATCTGCGCATAAGGGGATATAGGACCATGGTTCTGAGCTAAAAATCTGGATGCCAGGTAATTATCATTCATATGGTTCAAGCCATCCTGCATAGGGTCTGTGAATCTCAGGTTTTGATGAGACTGCACATTTGGCTGTATATGCAACTGAAACCTTGAATCACTACTTGCTGGTTGCAACTGTGCTTGAAAAGCAGGAGTATTTTTCATCTCCAGCCCTGAATCGCCAATTCCAGGCATCAGCCCTTTGCCCACAGCTAATATAGCAGGATCATCAAACTCCATATCACTTGCATGCCTTCCAAACTGAGATTGGTAATGATTACTGTGGCCACCCAAAACAGTATCCCGGAGAAGATTGTCTGTGAAGAACCGCAAAAGGCATGAGAAATCAAACTAGTTATACGAAAATAAGCAAAAAATACTGAGACAGGAAACAAACCTTGGTATGTTGAGCCATATGATTGATTAGACCCATCCTGTGATGAAAATCCAGAAGAAAATGCAGAAGGAAATCTAGAAGGGGGATTAGGGCCATCCTGTGATGGAAGTCCAGAAGAAAATGCAGGAGGAAACCTAGAAGAGGTATTAGGTCCATCCTGAGATGAAAATCCAGAAGAAAATGGAGAAGGCAGTCTAGTAGGGGGCTTAGACACTTCCTGAGCTGAAATTCCAGGAGAAAATGCAGAAGGGAATCTAGGAAGGGGGATAGACCCATCATGAGACGAAATTCTAGAAGGAAACCCAGGAGTGGGGTTCAAACTATCCTGGGATGGAAATGCAGAAGAAAATCCAGGAGGGGGGACTCTTGCTGGTGCTGAAAATCCTGGGGGGGCAGATATTTTAGATCTCGATGTACCTGAGAAAGCAAATTCTTCGTAAGCACATAAACTTATCACTGGTAAACATAAAAATCACATAATAAGCACCAACAGATCAACAATCTATTTGCATGAGTCAGAATATCTTTACCAATACTGAATGAAAAATAAGTGCAGCACACAGAAATAAGTTCATTCAATTACAGTACCTATCATTCTTTTTTTTGTGCGATTTACAGTACCTATCATTCTGCTCAGTCAGGCAAAGTAGTGAAAAGGTATTATAGTACTCACCAGCAGTTGCCATGTCTAATACACCAAGAGAGTTGCTATTGGAAAAATCATTTTCTAGATATTGGAATGCAAGGCCATTCTGGTAAATATTTCCTCGAGAATTCTGGGGCAGCAAACTCAAATTCTGCTCAGTACCAGTACCACAGTTTCTGAGAGATGAATCTAACAAGTTTCCTTGGTTATCCTGTCTAGCAAATGAAAATCTGGACTCTTTGCTCCCAGTTCCTGATTTCCATGAAGGCGCAGTGAAATGGACATCATTATTTTCAGATTCCCTAAGCATCCTAACAAAATTGTTAGCAGTCGAATATGAATCATCCCACGGATTAAACTCTGACGACAACATATCAGAAATTATTCTGCTCTCATCCTTATTTACGCTTATGGTCTTGTCAAAACTTCCTATACTATCTGAACCCATTGCTCTATGCTGATGACTTCCTATTCCAGGATGTCCAGAAACATTACCATGTGTATATACAGTCCCTAGCCCATCTTGACCTCCATTTGGCAAGACATAAGTGTTATTTATTGAAGAAAACCCCGTCTGTGAAGAAGCTCTAGTGCCAATCGTCAATGCAGGGTTACTTTCTGTATCATTCCACAATGAATTATCCAATGTACTAGGAAATTGGGCAAATGACGAATATGATGGTTGCTTTGAACCATCCAGTAGTATACTGTGAAGTTTGTCAGTGAGCATTGTAGAATCTACTATATCATTTAAAGGAGTCACACTACAATTTTGCAGCTCTGAACTCCAATCAAGACGCTTATCAGAACTATATTGACAAGAAAGAATAGTATCCTTATTTTCTGAAGGTAAGAAGAGCTCATCAAGATTGAGATGAGATTGGTCTTTGTCAAAATTCTGATCCATGGGCACATCAAGAGATGTGCATGGCATTACATCTGATTGCTGATTTCCTGCCATACTCTGAATATCATTGTTGCCACCTAATTTTACTGAAGATATCTGAGCAGATAGCTTCTCCATGTCAGTGTTCCTGGATCCAATATCCTCCAATATTTTCTCCCCATCAGCACGACTAGATTGGCAGTCTACAGCATTTGATGTAAGGCTTTTAGGAGTAATATTGGTAAGTGAGTGGTCACCATCACTCGTACTTGCATCTGATTTAGATATTGCTAGACTTGATACAAAATCTGAAGGACTTTTGCTGGTAATGTTGTTCATTGTTATGTCTTTCTTAGATAAAACCAGTGGCTTAGATGCTGGATGGGTTAGCTCGCCATTTTCATTTGCAACTTGATTTTCATCGCTTCCTTTTGACATCCCATCTGATACTACAATGTCATCGTCATTCCAAGCTGAAGGTATTGTCGAGAAATCTATGTCCAGTGATGACTCCAGTGATGATAGAGCTTGTGTTTCCTTTGAAATACCAGGCTTATACGGCTGCAAGGTTTTAGACTCTTTTTCTGACACTTGCTGTCCTTCAGACATTTTTGTTGCTGTACTTGTATCATCATTCCACGAAGAGGGTGTTTTCGTACTGGAAATTACTGAAGAACTTGAAAATGGATTACTCTGTGATTCTGATTTAGGTTTTGTATGAGATTGTGATGATGTCGCCCCAGTAGCTGTTGTCCTGGCATTCAAATCACGCTGCCCCCTGCACATAAAAAAGGAAAAAAAATCAGTAACACAGTCCTCAGCTTCAATGCATAGCAAAAAGGTAGCAGAAGACTTTTAGAGATACCATACCATGAGGCAGCTGGTGGAAGTGTGGACCTCCCAGAGCTACTGTTTGGAGGTGAAAGTCTGGGCTGGTTGGTGGCATTCTGAACAGATGGTGGCCAGTTAATGGAGTATGTAAGCCAAAACATGATGAAATTATCAGCAATTAAACCTAGACTAGAAAGCAGCATTAAGTTTAAAAAAATGGCATGTCTTCCAATGCACTTTGAATTTTCAGCATAGAGAACATACAAGTGTTCCATTCTTGAATGTATGCTTGGCTGAAACCACCGCACTGTAAGAGAAATCATCTCCTGGAGGGGGCAACACAGTGCCTGTACGTCTTTGTGAAACACTAGATGCCATCTGGGGGACTCTAGTCCTGACAGGAATGTAGAAGAGTGAATGAAAAGTAGCAATTGAAACTATCAAAATTGTTTTAGCACAAAGTTCATCAAAGCAGTACTTTATAATATAATAAAACATCCACATTGAAGCACGCATACTTTTTTCTAAATCCACGTACAAAGAACACCAACAGCTTATACATAATAAAATTTTGCACAGGGATGAGTTCATCAAAGCAACACTTAATATAATACGCATCCACATTGAAGAAGACATGTTTTTGTAAATAAACCCTCAGAGAACAACAGCTTATACATAGTAAGACCTTGCTTGTATGGCTTCAAGGGATTAACTATTATATCCAGAAGTGGAAAATAAATGGTGTTTTCAAAAAGGCAATGTGAGTACAAGTAGTTTAGACAGAGAAGGAAAGTGATAGCCAGGACTAGCACATGACTTAGGGCTAAAATGAATAAGGAAGCAGAACAAGAAACTAAGGTTCCATAACATAAGTTAAAATAGCTCAGTACTACCTCGTATATGCTGAGATGATCTCATCTTTAGTAAAACTATCCTCCTGACTGCCTACATCATGCAAATAGAGACAATCTGGATTCCCACATGTCTGAGAAAAGACAAGAAACATTCAGGATAAGTGAATTGGGTAGTAGAGTAAGTACTAAGTAAATGAAGATATCAGAACGAAGTAACATTTGTACCATGTTTCGCAGCCATGCATGGCAATACTTCGTAGTACCAAAGCATGCCCTGCAACAGTCAATAACCATTTGAGTTACTATGTTGTGCAAAACTTAAAGAAGAGAACAAAGTATAGAAACTCACCTTAACACTTTCCCTTCCAAGACAAAATTGTGTACAGCTTGAATACATCGGATGGCCTCTTCTTCTTTGGCATAAGTAATATACCTGTACACATTTGACAAGAATCCATCATTGCTTAAGCAAGAGCAGAAATTCTGTATCTAACTCTTACACAAACAGAACACTCCCTACCGTCACAAATAAGATGTCCACAGTCATTAACGTGTACCTTTGACTGCTAGTTTCCATTGCTTGCAATAATTACAAAGTACAGAAATATCATAACATTATGCAACTACTATTCGAGACAGATATGCTCATATCATTTTCACATATTCAATCTAACTATGTCAAGAGGTGTTGATGATCAATGTTTAAATACTTAGACTGCACACAGCGCAAAAGGTCACTTATCTGTGACTCGAGGGAATAACATGTTGCGACAACATGCAAATAACACCAATGGTTCTTAAACAGTTTAGGGCCATGATTACTAGGTCCTCAACAAATCAGTAGGTAGCATAATCTCTTCAGGGAAAAACTAACTGGTTTATGTAACAGCATGTACATATAAGGATAGCTAAACCAAGGAGTAACAGCAACATATCAACACGTGCAAGGATTATGTAGAGAAAGTAAAGATGAGGAACAGTGTGTGTTCTAGAAGACTAGAACTCTAATTTCACATGTTCTTTAACAAAGAGACCATCAAAAAAATTCCATATTAGACGTGTTGCAAGCATGCAAATTTTAATATACACAGCAATTTCTACACTAGAAAAAAAAGGCACCCTAACTCCATTATGGTTAATGCCTTAATGATAATCCCTAACTCAGTTCTGTTTAATTATAAACAATGCATGTTTCTGGCATAACACAGTTTCCTTTTTTTTTCAGGCAGGCATAACACAGTTTCAGAATACATCCAGACACTTTCTTGGTATTTCCAAGAGAAATCACCCAGAAACTAAAGAACACATCCCAGGAGAACAATATAAAGTACTCAAACTAAGAAAATTAGGCATTTCATTAAGAGATGAATTTCATCTATATCTGCAAATGCAGATTTGGGTTCTGAGCTTAGCCCAGAAACAGATACCTTCCATCTATCTGATTCTTTGAATTTCACACCAATAATACAATACATATCCTAATGTTAGCAATGAGGATACAAATGTTACTTTGAAGTGGTTATGCAAATCAGCAAATCACACTGCTAAATAGTTCAGATTAAACTTAAATGACTGAGCTACTTGCATAGTTCAGATTAAACTTAAATGACTGAGCTACTTGCAAGGATATGGACATAATATCACATCTTCACCAAGTTCACTAGAAAACCACATAATAACAAGATTGAAGTCTGAATTTACTTTCTTATAATACCAACGGTCCAGTATTACAAGGAACTATTAGAAACTTGAAACATACGATTGCATAGAAAGTGGATAATTATTTGATAAGCCATAGGCTAATTGACCAGTACTGAAAGTAGAAACCTAACTGCATATTAAGTATGAATAGATCATGCATGTGCAGCGTACAGTTCAGAGAGACATACACACTAATATTGCTGTTTGCTGATCCCTGAGAGGGAGGCCCAGTCGGACGGGAAACTGAAACCTTCAAAACTTTCCCATATTGACCAAAGTATTCCCTGCGCTCAAGTACCTAAACAAGAAATAGTAGTAGTGTTGGTATGAGAAGTAAAATTTAAACATATCACACACAACTTGGACAAATCTGGATGTGAACTCACGCTCTCGTTGCATAAATGCGCAGGTAGCCCAATTATGTACACCAGATTTCTCTGGATGACCCTGACACTAGCCAGATGCTTCTTAGATTCTACGGTTGACATTGCTGTTGTTGGTGGTGCTGCCTTTGGCTTAACCTTTTGGGTCTTGTGCTTCTTCTCTGCATTTTTCTCTGCCACCGTCCTGCTTCCATCATCAATGTAAAGGTAAGTTTGAGATACCTAGTGGCAAGGTCAACTTTCACAGATGGCTCTACCTATTCCTATTTCACATGATATATAAAAGGGTAATCAATCGCAAATGTTGTAGTCAGTCTTCTGAAGTACAACAGAAATTGATTGGTAACAAGAGAAGCATTGCGACGGACCTGTCACAAGTGGCAGCCATCTTGACGATCCTGTCCTTGTCATAGCGTGTGCGGCATGCAGGGCAGCGGCCCTCTGTTTCCTCCTTCTCAGCCATGTCTATGATGTGGTGCCAGCACCAAACACAAATCTGCAGAGTTAAGTGGCAGTTATTATTAGATGATGGCGCACAGCGCAGGCAAGGCAGGCTGCAATCTGATCGATATGATAGGATAGGAGGAGGATCGGTAGACATACATCGTAGCCGCATTTACATGGCTTGAGCTGCTGGTCAGTGATGTCCATCTCCTCGGCACAGAGCGGGCAGGTGCGGTCGCCATCGTCGCTCATGGTCGTCCTGGTGGATTGGAAGTCAGCCAGCATGAGGAGAAACGACCAGCCAAGTAGTATGCATGTGGAAGAATAAGAAGACGGCCCAGACTCAAACAGACAAGACATCAACCAATCAATCCTTAAGGTACAGTATCAGCAACCTGAGATCCCAAATATTTGTGCACATCACAGGATAAACTGATACATGAGAGACTGAATGAAGTGTACAAGACACAGAGGGCATCGAACCTTGCCCGATTCTAACAAATCAGCAATCCAACTTTAAATCTATCGGCAGAAACATATGACAGTCCTAAATTCCAGCGGATTGCTCTGCTACGGGGATACACGCACGATAATTATAATACTAACAACAGCAATAATTACAGAAGAAGAAGAAGAAGAAGGCAGGGCGGCGAAATTCCCATGAGATTGTAGTGAATCGAGCCGAAAAGATGCAGTGGAGTAGCGGGAAGGAGAGGAACTCACATTGGAGGGCGGGTCGGGGGTCTCCGATTGCGCGATTCGCGGGAGCGGCAGGGAACCCTAGAGGGAGAGGGAGGAGTGGGCGGTTGAGGCGGCGGCGGCGGCGGCGGGATCAAGCAGGAGGGCAAGCGGGGGGAGGGGATTCAAGGTCGGATGGCTGGACTCCGTCTTGTTCCTTGTGGTTGGGGGTGCGCGGGCGCTGTGGACACGGAGGAGGGGGGCGATGCGGTGTGCCTACGATGTGGTAGTAGAGGAAGAAGAGGAAGAAGAGAAGGGAGGGAGGGCTGCGCCTGCGTGGTGGGGATTCTCTGTGGCCTTCCTTGTGCTGTGACCGCCACTCTCTTCTAGTACATGCATAACCCATGTAATAATTTGCATATCTCTCTATATTATTGATCTCATCTCAATCTCAAGCTCGACCTATGATATTAAAAAAAACGAAGCGTTTTTTTTTCCAACTCAGCTTTTTTATTTCACAAAAGTGTTTTTTTTACTTTTCAAAAAAACTACCGTCGCACCCTCTGTATCTTATACATATATGACCCAGATTCATGGCCCTCACACTCTTCGCTTTTTAACTGTTGCTATTTTCAAAGTGGCAGTCATGTTCTTTTACTATAGCCAAGCCACCTTGAGTTTCTCTGGTGCCGATGTGTCATAAAAAACAAACCTAAAATAGGCTAGTATCTACCATATTTTGTTGTAAATTTTATGTCTTTTATTGTCCAGTAAAGCCACGTTTAGTAATTTGGGATTGGGTTCGCTTCTAACATATTGGACGACTATACACATCTCGGAGGAAGATGATAGTTGAGTGGGAGTCCTCTTGTTGTAAACTGATAGAGGGGAGTCGCGTTAGCGTCATGTATTTGGCAAATTGAGGTGTTGAACTCGCAAAGCTATGTGGTAAGAGGGTCAAGCTCGGTGAAGGCGGCGTTCGGTGTTAGGTTTAGTCCTAAATCGATAATTAATGGTCGATGAGCACAACATATAAGACGGGGCAGCCCTCACCTATCTCCTAGAAGAAGAAGCTGAGGGTGACTGTGGTCAGTAAAGGATTTAATCATCTACCGAGAGGGTGGATTTTCGTTTAACATCGCAGAAACAATGTGCCATGAGAGCTCCCCGGAAGAACCGGGGTTCCACAGAGATGGGGAGGCTGGATTTTGTGAAGATAACTTGGAAGACGAGAGAAAGGACAAAGGAAAGACCATAACTGGGCTGGCCCAACAGGCAATATGCCATGAGAGCTCCCCGGAAGAATCGGGGTTCCATGGCGATGGAGAGGGTGGATTTTGTGAAGATAACTTGGAAGATGAGAGAAAGGATAGAGAAAAGACCATAATTGGGCTGGCCCACCAGGCCAGGGCGGGCCTCAATATCGAAGAGTTGTTAACCCAATTCATACACGCCAGCCTCAACTCCTTGGACGCAAGTATAGATGGGCAATGGGCCGGCCCCGCGTGCCACTGGGCCATGCCACCTGAGCTTCGTGCCTGGCCGACGGCCCAAGCATGACCTATTGGGCCCTTTTTCCGTGGCAGGATGGCCTAGACAGCACAACCTTTTTAGCAGGCCGGGTCGGCCCGAGGCCCACCAAATGAGAACATAGAGAAGGGGAAGGCGGGGCCTGGAGGTGGTGGCGGCCGCCGGTGAGCTCGCCCCCAGGAGGATGCGGTGGAGGTGGGGAGGGCGCTCCGGCTCCGTGGAGGACGCGAAGTAGCTGGCGGTTCCGCCGTGGTCCGGCCGAATCCATGGAGGACGCACTGGCTCTCCTTTAGCTTGGTGGAGGGCGGCGCGCTCGAAGCACGAGGGTCGGGGCTGGGGCCCATCTATCCACGAAGAGAGAGTGTGTTTCCTAGTCGTGTTGCCCACGCCATTGGGTACAAGACGGTTTGTCAGCGCCCACAATATTGTTGACGCCAGATGCATGTGGTAGGCTCCTACCATACTGTAGGACAAATGTCGGCGCCCACAACACTGTTCGTGTTCTGACACGTCTGGAAGGTTATAAAGTACCCTTCTGACATGACCCGATAGTACTGTCCTGCAGGGGTGCAGGGTACGGTCCTCGGTATTGCGGTTTTACTTTGAGCGCCCTACCTTACTTGCTCCACCTGATTCTTTGGGTCCTTTACCAAGCGGGCGTCCCTGTTCGGTTGTTTCCCAGTCAGCTCCGACCGTGCCGGTCGGAGAAGAGCTGTAAGCAGAGGTTCGGTGTACTCCCGGTCGGAGAAGCGAGTCGAAGTCGAAAGTGAGCATCGTCCTTTCCTTGGACAGGCCTTCCGGTCGGAAGCGAGCGTCGTCCCTCCTTGGCCAAGCCTTTCGGTCGGAGAGGCGGGTCGGAGTCGGAAGCGAGCGTTGACCCTTCTTGGCCAGGCCTTCCAGTCGGAGACTAGATCGCCCTTTCGGCCTATCATTAGGTATCTGGGCCAGTCTAGGAGTTGTGCGTCGTTTGCAACATCGTCTGTTGGGCCGAACTTTTGCTGGGAAGCAGGTCCATTAGGGACCCCGTGTTTATAAACCCTATAGGAGCCCCCGAGACCCCGGGCGATTCGGGTAGAATCATCTGGGGGATTTTTCGTTTTGACAGTGGATGCGCGTGAGCGCACCCGGTGGGTGTAGCCCCTGGGCGATTTGGGTAAAATCGTCTAGGGGATTTTTCGTTTTGATAGCGGGGGAATTTTTTGTTTTGACAGCGGGTGCGTGCGAGCACACTCGGTGGGTGTAGCCCCCGAGCCTACGTCCGACTGGTGAGTCAATTGGAGGCTAAGCATCTTGGTACTCTTTCCTAGGGCCACGGATTCCTGTGTTTCTGCCATTCGGGGTGTTCGCCCGTGTTTGTCCCACCCGTGATCCACGCGGTCGGTTGGTTTCCCGAGTCGGCATCAGGTGACTCGAGCCCCTAAGCCCCGTTGGGTTTGGTAGGGGATGGTCTAGTTCCGTGCGTTACCCCGTCCATAGTTTTTGCAACCAGAGAGGTTGAGCTAACGTCGCTTGCCTCGATGGCTCGAGCGATGCGCTCGGTGAGCTCGCTAACGGGCACGTTCGAGCGGAATCTGGGTCCGTCGTTCGTGACAGGGTCGGCATAGCCCTCATGTGGCATTCCACTGCTCCTTAACCTGCCTCCCGACAGATGCCCGAGTCATTCCAGAGACTGACTCAGGTGGCCCACTGGCCTCCCCTCGATGGAGATTCTGTGGGTATGGCTCGAGGTTTAGGATCGAATGAGAAGGTCAAGATGACCTTGTCTGCTTTTGAGCAGATCGGGCAAGGGACCCTGGGGCTCATCTGCATTTTCTCCCCTGGCTCTATTTGATACTAGGTGGCCTCGAGCCCTTCGTGGGCTGGCCTTTAAACCTCGGTCAGTCATTGGTCATGTTGAATGAGGCAACTACCCCTTCGTGAGGCAACACGGAGCGTTGTGATGCATTAATTGCATATGCGATGCTTTGGATATATGGGATGAATGAATGACTGCATGAATGAATGTGTGAATGCATGTATGAGAATGGATGAATGAATGATTATGCATCAGAAAATAAAGTAAGAGGGTTTGGTAAAATTACCTTGATGACTCGAGCGACGGGTTTGAGGAGTTCTTATCGGATATGTCCGAATGGGATTAGTGTTCGTCGTTCGTGACGGAGATGGCATGGCCCACATGGGGCATCCCTCTGCTCCTTACCTATCTCTTGGCTTCGCCTGAGCCATCCGATCGACTTAGGAAGCCCGTTGGTCTCTCCTTCGATGGAGATCCCGTTGTTGGGCCCTTCCAAGTCTTGCCTGGGAAGGCGGAGGGCCGTTTGCATGCAGTTGTGCCTTATTTCCTACACCCGGCGTACGGTAGTGGTGTACCATGCCCAGGCCACGTCCCATCTAACCAGGCATCGTTTTGTTGGGCAGGGGGCATCCCATCACATTCCCATCCGCATTGAACAGGGGAAGGGAGAGGTTTTTTTGCCTCAATCCTTCACCTTTCTCCAACTACTGTCTTTCCTCCTTAAATAGGGGAAGGGAGAGGGCTTTCATCCCATTCCTTCGCCTATTCTCCAACTACTGCCTCCCCTCCTTCCTTCTCACCAAGCGCGTTTGTGCGCCGCGGCGGTTCCTAGGAGACAGAGGGTAAAGCGAGGGAGAGGAGAACTTATAGATCCATTCATGAGTCCGAAGCGTGATGTTGAGCTGGAGGCCATCTAATGTGGACGAGACGGTGCTGGCCGCCTTCACCGAGAAGGGGCTGCTTCCACCAAAGGAGGTGGCGCACTGGAGGGCTCCTGCGGGGGAGGCTTTTCCGCGACCTCAGGCCAATGAGGTTGTCTCCTTCCTCGCCTTCCATGAGCGTGGTCTAGGATATCCCATGCACTAGTTCCTGCGTGGGCTCCTCAATGAGTGGGGCCTAGAGCTGCAGCACCTCAATCCGACTAGGGTGCTACACGTCGCCGGCTTCGCGACCGTCTATGAGGCCTTCCTCGAGATGGAGCCACATGTGGATTTCTTCTGGTGGATCTTCACCGGGCAAGCCTTGTCAT